CACTCACCTCAGCCTCCCAAAGCGCGGGATTACAGGCTGAGCCACCGAGCCCGGCTTTGATTTATTTTATAGACGAGGTCTCGCCATGTTGCCCAGCCTGGTCTCGAACTCCTGGGCTGAGGCAGTCTGCCCACCTCGGCCTCCCAAAGTGCTGGGATTACAGACGTGAGCCACTGTGCCCGGCCACCTTTGTTCCCTTACACTTCATTGCAGTTTGGGAGCAGGCAGAGATGAAAGGATGGTGCCCTTGGCCGTCCTTCCCCAGGAGTGTCGATTGTACAGGATTCCAGGGTTTTTTCAGCTCTGACTGTCATCGTTCACTTAGGCATGTTTGTAACAAATCCATAGCTTTCTGGGACATGCGGGGCTAAGTCACTCGGGACCCCAACTTTTCCCTGACAGCTGAAGCTGAGCCTGCTGAGAGCAACCTTTGGAGAACCGTCCCTGGGACTTCCCTTCCAGTGCCCGTTCATGCTTCTCTGGGGGGGCGGTTCCTGAGGGTCAGCCCCTTCCTCTGTCTCTCTGGCACCTACTTATGGGTGGGGCCCACTTCTTTTTTCTTTTTCTTTGTTTTTATTTTTGTCTTTGAGCCAAGGTCTCACTCTGTCACCCAGGCTGGAGTGCAGTGTGGTTCGATCATGACGATCACGGTTCACAGCAGCCTCCACCTCCTGGGCTCAGGTGATCCTTCCACCTTAGCCTCCTGTAGCTAGGATTACAGGTGTGCACTGCTATGGCTGGCTGATTTTTCAAGTTTTTTGCAGAGGCGAGGTCTCGCTGTATCCTGGGCTCAAGCAGTCCTCCCTCCTTGGCCTCCCAAAGTGCTGAGACTACAGGCATAAGCTACTGCGCTGGACCAGGGCCCCGTTTCAAGAATGTTGACTGGGGTATTTGGGGAAAGGGCTTCCTCCAGAGCCTGCAGGTGGTTTTTTACTCAGACACGATATTTCTCCCCCAGGACCCCAGTCTCCCTTCATGATCTACTTTGAACAACATTCCTGGCTCAAGCTACAGGTCAGAGTACCTCTTAGATGCTTGACCTTGATTCAAAGCCAGCGCGCTGGACCAGCTTTGCCTCGAGGGTGTCCTCGGTGGAGTCTGAAACACTCTTTGTGGGGGCGGGGGCTGTTGGCTGTGAAGAGATGACCGGGCAAGAAAGGGGCGGCGTGGGTCAAGTGCACTGGAGTGGGTGCAGACCGGGTGACGTGGAGGATGGGCTCTGGGCTGCCAGCAGGCATAGCCAGTGGGCCAGCTGCCTCCTAGACACAGGCTCCCCGTGAGGTGGCCGGGTCTGGGCTGCAGAGTTGCCGCCTGGGCCCAAAGAGCAGGGTTCCAGCTCCAGGATGACTCAGTGGGGCACTGGCAGACCGGCTCTCTGAAAAAAAAAAAAGGAAAAGGAACAAAAACAAAACTCCGATTTGCTGCCTTCCCTGGTGTGACTCTTCACTCTGGCTACTTTGAAGCTGCCGGTGGCCTCGGCCCGCAGAACCTGGCTGTGTAGCCGCTGGCTCTGGTGAACTGACCCCAGCACCCAGCTGCGCCACTTACAAGGGATGCGGGCGGGTCGCAGAGGACCTGGAACTGAGCAGGGAAACTGGGCGGGACTCACACAGGGGACTCAGGCAAGGATGGAGTTCCTGGAGCCCAAGTGCGTGCTCAGGCTTGTGATGGAGCAAAGATGAGATGCCAGAACCTGCACACGCTCTCCAACAGGTCTGGGAAGTGGTGATCATGACAGCCATGGTCCTGTGGCTGTCATAGCACCTGTCACTTGCTGAGCATTTACAGTTGGCATGACTTCATTCTTTCTCTCTCTCTCTCTCTCTTTTTTTTTTTCTTGCCCAGATTGGAGGGCAGTGGTGCAATCTTATCTCACAGCAGCCTCGAACTCCCAGGCTCAAGTGATCCTCCCGCCTCAGCCTTCCAAGTAGCTGGGACTACGGGCACCAGCCATCATTCCTGGCTAATTTTTTATTTTCTATTTTCTATTTTTTGCCGAGATGGGGTTTCGATATGTTGCCCAGGCTGGTCTCAAACTCCTGGCCTCAAGCAATCCTCCTGCCTCAGCCTCCCAAAGTACTGGGAGTACAGACACGAGCCACCGTGCCAAGCCTCATTCAGTCATTTTAGCACCCATTTTACAGGCCAGGAAACTGAGGCTCGAGGAGGGTAAGCTGTCCAAGGTGGCTAGTTGTAAGTGAGGCAGGATTTGAATCTGTGTGTGGGTTCTTGCGGGGGCCACTGTAGACGTGGCTCCCTGGGGTTAGGCTGACACCAAGGCCCTTGCCTACCGAACCAGACCACAGGCTCGGCCCTGGGGCACGGCCCGGCCTCACACTGGTGTGGGGGCCCAGCGGAGGCATGGGGGCCAGCGAGGCCCATACCCAGCTGGCACACAGGCCGACTCAGTCAGGCCATGGTGTGGGAGGGGAGTGGGGTGAATATCCTGAAGCCCGCATGCCTCCTTCTCCAGGTGACCTGGTAGACACGTGGGTGGCGTCCGTGAGATGCTCTGGTTTTCGAGGCAAAGGCCCTTAGCTCAGGCTTGCAAACTGCAGGCAAGCGCGAGAAGCCAGGGAAGTGTCACCGTGACCCTGACCCTGACCTGACACAGAGGAGGAGGCAGGACCAAGCCGGGGTCCAGCCGCCAGGACTGGCTCACTGCCTCAGCCTCGTGAGTACCTGGAACTACAGGTGTGCGCCACCTCGCCTGGTGAATTTTTTTTATTTTTTTGTAGAGACGAGGTCTCTCTACATCGCCCAGACAGGTCTCAAGCTCCTGGGCTCGAGCAGTCCTCTCGCTTCGGCCTCCTAAAGTGCTGGGATGACAGGCGGGAGCCACGATGCCCGGCCTACGTTCTTCTCTTTATTGGTGCATTGGCCCCTGGCATGGCCACAGCAGGTGAGCGTGACCACGTGAGGTCTCAGCCACCGTCTGGGCTGGAAGGGGGCTGGGCTTTGTTGGAGCAGGGGCAGAACCCAGCAGCGGGGTAGGAAGTCCAGTCTGGGAGGGAAGGTGCTTCTGGGGAGTACTCATTCATTCTGATACACGCGTGTCTGGCCTCCATGGGAACCGGAGGTGGGTCAGCCATAGTACTACCCTAGGGGGCCCGAGGACCGCCTGAGGGGACGCCCCAGGGAAGGAGGAGCGCCGACTAGCGGTTAGTGTGGAGAAACCGTCCACGTGGGCATGGGTGGGGGGCCGCACACTTGGAAGGCTTCCTGGAGGAGCAGGCATCTCACTCTTTCAGCCAGAAGGGAGGCGAGAATGGGGGCTGGAGGCCGTCTTCAGGCAGTGGAGGGAACAAACACATATGGCTGGGGCACGGAACTGCTGGGCGTTCTGGGAACGTATGGAGGTCAATGTCACCGGAGACAGTCTGTGTGCCCGGCAGGGAGGCCTGGGAGGGAGGCTGGGACTGCATGGAGGGCCACCTGGAGACCTTGCCTGCGACTTTGCCCTGGAGGGCCATGAGCAGACCCCACTGCGCCCACGATTCGCCTGCCTCAGCAAGGGGGCGGCGGGAGATCAGCTACATGGTAGCGAGGCTGGGATTCAGGGCCAGGACTCCAGTCCCAGAGGGCGCGTGCCACAGCTGCAGGGGGTCTCGGGCTGCCAGGGTCGAGCCCTCCAGAGGGAGATGGCACGGGACCTGGGGAGGGGGCATCTGGTCACAGCCGGGGTCCCGCACAGGGGCTGCAAACAGCCTGTGGACTGGCCCCGCCCATCGGTGAAGTGATAGTAGAGTTTCCTGTGCCCCCTCTTCACGGATAGATTTCCGGGGCCGGGCGGTCCTTCCCGCACCTTTCGCTGGGGGATGCTGACCTTGCATTTGCAGGGCCGGGCCACCCTGCTCTGTGGTGCTGGGTGCTGGGCTTCACGCAGAACGGCTCTCCCTGACTCAGACTGTAATCCTGTGCTTCGGGAGGCTGAGGTGAGTGGATTGCCTGAGCCCGCGGGTTCGACACCCGCCTGGGCAACTTGGCGAGACCTCATCTCTACAAGAAATAAAAAACTAGCCGGGCGTGGTAGCGCATACCTGTAGTTCCAGCTACTTGGAAGGCTGAGGCGGAAGGATCGCCGGAGCCCAGCAGGTCGAGGCTGCGGTGGCCGGGAGCGGCCACTGCACTCTAGTCTGGGCGACAGAGTGAGACTCCAACTTAAAAAAAAAAAAAAAAAAATAGAGACAGGTTCTTGCTAATTTGTCCAGGCTGGTCTTGAACTCCTGGGCTCAAGTGATCCTCCCACCTCAGCCTCCCAGAGTGCTGGGATTACAGACGTGCATCACCACACCCGACCCCCGGTGCTTAATATTTTGTCCTGGATGGAGATGGCAGGGTTGTAGTGTGAGGTCCCTCTCGTTTCCAGGTTTCTGGGTGGAGCGGACCCCCGTGCACGAGGCAGCCCAGCGTGGTGAGAGCCTGCAGCTGCAACGGCTGATTGAGAGTGGCGCCTGCGTGAACCAGGTCACGGTGGACTCCATCACGCCCCTGCACGCAGCCAGTCTGCAGGGCCAGACGCAGTGCGTGCAGCTGCTGCTGGCGGCCGGGGCCCGGGTGAGTGGCCCTTCGGGGCAGACCCCTGGTTAGCTGAAGCTGCAGGAATGGAGGAGACCCGCTCAGGACACAGGCAGTGGGTCTGTGACAGGCAAGCACAGGCAAAACCAGGGGCCAAGGGGCCTTCGGAGGAAGGCAGGAGGGAACAGCAAGGGTGTTTTGTTGCCGCGGAAGGAGGGACCACACTGTGTCCACGTCACACGAGGACTGAAAGGTGGGGCCTGGGAAGAGTCATGGACTCAGCTGTTGGGAGGGCATAGTGGCCTGAGATGAGGCCGTTTAGCAGAATGGTGGTGGAGTGCCCAGCCCTGCGGCAGGCAGGGCCAGCGGGCCAGCCACCTAGCCACAGGCTCCCTGCAGGTGGCCGGGCCGGGGCTGCAGAGCTGATGGGCAGCGCTGGCAGGCTGGCTTTCAAGCAAAAAGAGAAAGAAAAAAGGGAACAAAAGCGACCCTCGGACCGCTGCCCTCCCGGGTGTCAGCACTCACACCCTGGCTAGTCTAAGCTCACAAGAGCGTCCGGCCTGCGGAATTCTTGGCCACACAGCAGCCGGCCCTGCCTGGCTGGGAGAGCCGGGCCCTACCCCGCCCTGGCCAACTCAGAAGGGATGCGGGTCCCTGGTCTCGGAGCTTGGGGGGCGGGGAAGGAACCGTGGGCTGCTGACTTTTTCCCGAAGCTGGGAACGGATCGCGTTTTGGTGTGTACCCAGATGGAAGCTGGGTTTGGACAAATTCATGGTAGAATCTGCCCATTTTGAGGAGTTGTCTTTCCCCTGGCCCGTGGTTTTCACCCTAGAGGAGACATGTCAAGCACTCGCAGGCATTTCTTCCGGTGGAGGCTTGAGTTAAAACTCATTTTTAAAAATTAGAAACAAACTTGCCATGCTGCCCAGGCTGCAGTGCAGTGACGCCGTTGTAGTTCACTGCAGCCTCGAACCCCTGGGTTCAGGAGATCCTCCTGCTTCAGCCTCCTGAGTCACTGGGACTATAGGTGTGCACCACCATGCCTGGCTAATCTTTTAATTTTTGTAGAGACGAAGTTTTGTTATGTTGCCTAGGCTGGTCTCGAACTCCTGGGCTCAAGTGAGCCTCCTGCCTCACTCTCCCAAAGTGCTGGGATTGCAGGTGTGACCCGCCCTCCCCAGATTTAAGACCCATTTTCATCCCCTGCCTTTCCGAGCTGGTGACCTAGGGCTCTCCTTTCCGGCTCTGTGCTTCTTAGGTGTTTGGTGGGATTGGCTTATCTCCTGCCTGGAGAGGAGAGAATCCCATGCGGGATGATCCCTATTCTTAGGAGGCTACAGATGCCCCCAGGGGTGTGTCTGTCTCTTTGCACAGCCTTACCTAGACAGGTGCCTCAGCCCGTATTAACAGCCAAGCGGTGCTTCTTTTTTGTTTTTGAGTCAGAGTCTCACTCTGTCACCCAGGCTGGAGTGCAGTGGCCACTCCCAGCCACCACAGCCTCGACCTGCTGGGCTCCAGCGATCCTTCTGCCTCAGCCTTCAGAGTAGCCGGAATTACAGGCACGCGCTCCCACACCTGGCTAATTTTTGATTTATTGTAGAGATGAGGTCTCGCCAAGTTGCCCAGGTGGGGCTCAAACCCACAGGCTCAGGCAATTCACTCACCTCAGCCTCCCAAGGTGCGGGATTACAGGCTGAGCCACCGAGCCCGGCTTACACTTTATCTTTCTTTTTTTTTTTTGAGTTGGAGTCACACTCAGTCGCCCAGACTGGAGTGCAGTGGCCACTCCCAGCCACCGCTGCCTCACCTGCTGGGCTCCGGCGATCCTTCCACCTCAGCCTTCTGTGTAGCCGGAATTACAGGCATGCACTACCATGCCCGGCTGATTTTTTGATTTATTGTAGAGATGAGGTCTTGCTGCCCAGGCAGGTCTCGAACCCGCAGGCTCAGGCAATCCACTCACCTCAGCCTCCCAAAGGCGTGGGATTATAGGCTGAGCCACCGAGCCCGGCCACACTTTATCTTTTAAAGATGGAGTCTCGCTATGTTCCTGGTTGTGTAGGTTTGGTGTTTTTTTTTTTGAGTTGGAGTCTCACTCTGTCACCCAGACTGGAGTGCAGGGGCCGCTCCCGGCCACCGCAGCCTCGCCCCCACTGGGCTCCGGCGATCCTTCCGCCTCAGCCTTCCGAGTAGCCAGAACTACAGGCTCATGCCACCACGCCCAGCTGATTTTTTGATTCGTTGTAGAGACGAGGTCTCGCCAAGTCGCCCAGGTGGGTCTCAAGCCCTAGGGCTCAGGCCGTCCTCTC